CATTGTCCAGTCTTCGGCAGTAACACAGGAGTTACAGGAGCAAAAATTGGAGAAGTTTACATCCTTTTTGATTGTTTTCAATAATCACCCAAATATGTAGTTTTGTTTTAACAGGTATACCATTAATTCTGACAGATTTAAATGTTTGAAAGGTAATAAGACAGACTCATTTTCAGCCCTGACACAAGTAGCTGTCTGCTCACATCGTGTGTATTCGACAGGAAAATTGCAGTGTCATCAGTCAGGTGTGCCCATCTCTATCTAAGGGTGGGATACCCTGAAACTGTCCTTTTTTAATATGCACTCCATAATTTGTGCATAAATTGGATGCAGTTGTTCGCACTACACCCAAACATTCACCATCTTCACTCATGCGGCCATCCCACTGGCGCCAGCTGAAGGCTGCCGAGGTTGAAGCTGACTGGAACAACAAATTCGTCCATGATAACAGGATTGTTGTCAGAACTCTTTGTCCCTCCTTCAAGGCCGCCAGACCTTCGCTTAACCGGGCGAGATGACACTTTCTCTCAGCTGAACACGGGATAAACATACACACACAAATGCACACGCATGAAACATGTACACTGATACTGATACGCCCTCACTATCACCCCCCCCCGAATCCAACACCTCCTCCCAGGTTTACCTCCCATCCGATGTGGACAGTGGATCAGCTGGAGGTGCGATCGAAGATTGCAGCGGTCCCAGATCAGCTGTACACACTGGAACACTCTCCCATGTTGCTGTCTGTGTTTTATTGTGATATGGTGTGATGATGATTCCTGGATTATCCTTTTGTGTTACATATTTCAATGTTTTTTTCCTCGCTACCTAGCCTGACCTGTCTCCCCAATGTGATGTTTGTGTATTGTATGTATGGTCTGTCATCTCGGTTGTGGGCAACTGCAACTGACAAATAAAGGCCATCCCATCTCAACTAGCTAACATTACAGCCAACAGCTAAAACATTAGCACTAAAGACCTACACAGAATACATCGCCATAGACATACAAATAACATAATTTCAGTTTGATGAGTTTAACTGCAAAGCAGATAATGCTATCATAAATTGAAATTTTTTTTTTTTTAAACTTACTTTTCGCAAGCAAATTACTTCTTTTCTTCTTAAATTGTCCGTGTTTGCCAAAATGTGCTAATTTTTCACATGTGATAGAAGAACTGAATTTGGCATGTACAGAATGAATCGCATCATTTGAAACTTAGCTCTGATTGGAGAAATTGGAAGTGTTAGAACTGACCCACATTACGGTCTCCTCTACTACTGGAATTCCTTTCTTGCCTATGGAGAAATTTATCCATTTGTATTTTCTGAATGAGCCAAATATGATTTTTGGTAAATATATTTAGGAAACTATTTTCACTTTCACATATTGAATGAATAATTCTGAGTTTTCTAATAAAACATTGTTCAAAGTTTCTTTTATGTTAACTAAAGAAATATTTTGGGCATTTTTTCCGCTGTTCTCACCGTTTCCTCCTAACAGCTTTAACATCTGACTGACGGTGAGATTATCGTTTAGACAAATTGTTTTTTCACATAATCTTATTATTCTAGAAATAATTTTAATTTCTCTCTCGTTTGTCTTTAGAGAAAGCATTTTCCTTTTGAAAAATTTCTGATATCAAATTTCATTTCCATAAAAACTCTTAAATAGTTTTTCTTGTTAATAAGTCTCAGGGCTTAACTTTGGATTAATTTAGTTTCCAACAGTCTTTATTCTGAATTTGTCCAAATAATTTCAAATCAGTCTAAACTGGACTGCTTTATGGTCACGGATATGTTCGAGCTCGGATGACGTTTGTTCATGTGGGCATCTATCCATGCTTTCATTCATCACTGTGTTGGAATCACCTCCATATAAAAGTTTAGCTGAAGGACATGAAAATAACATCTGCCTTATCGTCTGTGGTTAAAAATAAATATACATTTTATAATTAAAGCCATTTATAAAGTGTGACTGATCAATATCAACCAAAAGTGTAATCCATTGTTCGCTGATGTTGCAGTTTAAGTGTGAACCGCTGCAAATCTGCTGTCACCAACAGAAACGTGCTGCCTTTCTCACTCTTCTTGTTCATTATTTATTGAGCTTTTAAAGAGTCACGTTTTATTTGAAATTAAATTTGTGGACTTATTTCAGGAGTTTTGGATTTTCATCAGTTAACGTATTTCTTTTATTTTTGCTGTTTTATTGTGAGCTCGCAGTATTACTTTTCTTCTTATTTGGTTTCTCTTTAATGTTTTATGCTTTGGCCGGAGGGTCTCTATTCTATTTCTAGTCGCTTCTACTGAATGTTTTTGCTGTGCCCGCTTCGGCCTGCAGGGGGCAGCCGCGGCTCAGTTTACGCCTTAAAGCGGAACTTTTGTTTCCGTGTTGTGTTTTCTCAGGAGCGTTAACAGCTGTGAACAGCAGACGGCAGGGGGGTGGAGGGGTGTGTGAATCGATTATTGCTCAGCTATCGATCTCAGCACCGTGAGGTCCATGATGCAGTGCGGCTGGCCCCTCATGGGTCCGCTCAGGTGGCTTCACTACCTTAACAAAGAGGTGAAGGTGAGAGCGGGAAAAGGCGAGGAGCACCGCGGCTGGCTGTTAAGCGTGGACCCGGTGTCCGCCAGGTAACGCGCACGTGGAGCCTAATTTGTAAATCAAACAGCTGATCGTGACGAACGAGTCGAGTTTTTTTTCAGCCGTTTCCTGTGAACTTTGACCTTAACTCGTTTGCGTTAAGTTTAAGTGTGGCTCCTGATCGTCACGTGGCTCTGACCCTTGTCTTCCTGTGCCCTGCAGTGTGGTCCTGGTGTCCTTTGGTGAGGCGGTGGCGGTGCGGGTGGTGATGGGTCACGCCGTGGAGGCGGTGGAGGTCCTGCGAGCGGCTGCTGATGATGAGACGGCGAAGCGTCTGCGGTCGGTCTTCCTCCCCCCGCCGTCCCCTTGCCTGGACCCCAAGGAGCTGCGTCAGCGGAGGGATGCCGTGCGGCGGTGGCTGCAGGAGAACCGCATCCCCGTGGAGGAGGAGGGGGAGGAGCTAAAAGTGGCGGGCGTCCTGACGATCGCTGCGCCCTATAGCGCCCACGACTGCAGGAGCTCCAACCAGATCATCCTGGACCGGATCCAGAGACTTATCGGGATCCAGGACTGTACCAATCAGGGGTTGCCACTCTGAGCTGGGCCAATCACCAGGTTAGTGTGTTGTTTGAGCTCCGCCCTTTTGTCATTTGCAGATGTAATCTAAATAAAAGGAGTTTCTAAGTGACTCACTTCCTGTAAAACTCACCTGTCCCACAGACTGACGAGTCACCAATCGCCATGATTAGTTACGTCAGAGTGGGAGGAGTTTTAAATATGTGCATAATTTTAAAAGATAAACTGGTTTTATTGTGACAGGCACAATTTCATTTCAGGTGAGAAGAGACCTGCAGCAACCACAATGAACCAGGAAACCAGAGTGCTGGCTCACCTGGGGTCACCCGGGGTCAGGGTGTGCACGGGCGGATTTCAGTTTGTCAGACTTCAGTAATCAATAATTATTGATCTGCTGTAATCATTGACACCTGGATGTCGCTGATGTGATTGAACATCACCTGAATCACCTGCGTCAGTATCAGGTGTCTCCGGTCTGTCCTCTGAGGAGAACTGAGTTCTGCTCTTTATTTGCCCGTTGCCATGGTGACACCTGCGCCTGTGGGAATGACTTGCTGCAGACTGATTCCCGGAGCGTTTTTGTAAAAGTTTCGTGTCGTTTCATACTTTGTAAAACAAATTCAGACTGGAGTCAAACTTAAACCACGAGCTTTGATCTTTGTCAGTTTCAGTAAACATGGGGATGAAACGTCTACCGAGTCATCTAATCACTGTAAATAAACTGTAAGGTAATTATTGTATCTATGGTAACAAGACACCCATCCCTCCACGCATTTATTTCAATATGCTCTGCTTGGTTTTGTTTGTTGAATGCAGAGCAGAGAAACACTTGTATCCTGGGGCTTTGTGTGTGTTCAATGTCAATAAAGTTAATTGAAACCAGCCCAGCGCCACCTTATCTGCTCTTTAAGTGATGACATGATGAATCCTGCTCCCGGCCCAAACTACTCTGCATTTATTAAGTCTGTGTTTTTAACATGTTTTAGTGCTTTGTATATAGTTCAGTTTAATCTGAACAAACCCCTAAAAACAGTCAGTGATCACTATTGTCCCCTCTCGGTTTTTATTACCATTGTTCATTTTAAAGCTCAGTTTTTAAACCCTATCTACAGCCCAGCCCATGCAGCAGTATAATGACTAACTTCGTATTGTGGATGGATTATCTCAGTTGTTCTCCTGACTGAAGTTTGGTCCTTTTACAGCATCTTGCCATGCGACTGATATTGTCTCTAACCATCAGGAACCCTCACGTTAATTTTTATCAAGCGGAAAAGTGTTCGCGTTCATCCTCCAGCTTCACTGTGTTTATGCTAACATAGCTGTGTTGCTAGCGATCACGTAGCACATCATTATACACCAGCTAGCCCAACTTTAGTAACCTTACAAACGTCACTGCTGTTTAGTTTTCTGTCTTCATTTATGTTGGAAGTGATAGAGCCGTACGTTTAAATTTGTTCATAAATCTCTCAGTCAGAACATGCTATATCATGTTTAGATGGAAACTGGCAAGCTAACTTCCTGCTAACTTCTAACTCCATTGAATTTAATAAATCCTGTTTTCATGGATGCCTGGATGTTAAACTTCATAGTTACACCTGGTAAAGCAGCAACGCTGATCATTTTATTAAAGATGAAAGAATTTAGACAGTTTTTAACTCTCAGTGATGCTGCAGTGATCGTTTGGACCTGAAGCAGAGTTTGAACCCAGACACGAATAATGATGTCAGACTTGAAGACCACCCGCTGCTGCAGGGGCAGTAGATGTGGAGGAGCCCACCTACAAAAACCAGCCACAGTTCAGTTCAGCAGGTAAAATAAAGACCGATGAATTCCAGGTTTCTTCGAGCTCAGTGAAAGAAATGTTTATTCCCTTGTTTTTGTTTACATCACTAATAATGACATCACCACCATCTTCTTCATCAGGTCCACCTGAACCACTGCAGTACCTGTGTGGCTCCAGGCCAGTACCTGAGGGTCTCGTCCCTCTGAGGTCTGAGCTCAGAGATGTTCAGAATAAGAGCACATTTTTGTTTTACAGTCAGTCTCAGTTCGAAGCAGTCAGAGCTTCCTGATTGGTCCATCACACATTTTTACTTTCTTCTGATCCAATCAGCTGTAGTGTTAACTCAGTCTCCTCCACAGCCTGTCCAATCAGCTGTCCCTGAACCCTCTGGAACTCCAGGCTGTCCAATCGCACAGAGGGCGTGTCCAGCATGGGGGCGTGTCCAACAGAATCCCTCTTGTATGTCTTTGGGGGGAGTTTGGGAACACTGTGACGTGGAGGCACAGGGGGGCCATCCAAGGTGAGGGGAGGGAGTGGGGGGAGGGGTGGAGAAGGCAGGGGTAATTTCCTGGAGGTGGGGGTGACAGGAGCAGGGAGAGGGGGTGAGGAGGACAATGTGGTGGGGGTGGAGCAAATGGAAGTTGGGCCAGAGATGTTGGGGGGAAGAAAGCCTGAGGCAGGAGGTCACAGCGGGGACGACCCTGAGGGGGGGGCAGGAGGTGTAGAGGGGAGCTGAGGGGCTCTCGTGGAGGCAGGGAGGGGGGGCTGTCAGGTGGTGATGATGACAGTGACGAGTAACGAGAGGGGTGGAGCTTACAGGTGGGCTGACGAGGTGGAATGGCTGGGGGGCTGTCCAGCTTTGACACCATCTGTGAGGGAGAAGGGAGGGGGGGGGGGTCAAATGTCACATTCAAATGAACCTTTATCAAGATTGAATTGAGAAGGCGGCGTCAGACAACAGCCCCGCCTCCCCTCACCACAGACCTTTGTTTACATTTACACCATAACAGGACGCCAACAGGGGCCCGTTCTGCTCGGGAGCAGGTTTACTTTATGTAAACAGGATTAGATCGCGGCCACGCAGGTATGTCCGCTTCATTTATACGAAAGCAACAGCGATATTCCACCACTGTTTCACCATAAATAAATAACATCAATGTAACTAAAGACAATGCAGCACTTGATCCTTTCATTGATGTCACACAGATACATGCAGGTCATTTCCTAAAAAAGGGAAATGTACTATTAACATTCTATTACATGTATGTGATTATTGCAGATGTAATTCATATTTCAGAGTAGTAATTGTAAATTACTTCGTGTAATCAAGATGAGAGACCACGGCTATAAAAGCGAAGGTGGATTTGGGAAGCCTGTCGCAGCCATGTCCTGTCCGTATACGCGAGCAGCCCATTGCGGAAGGTGCAAGATTGATAAGGAGAGTTTCCAGAATTCAGCGTATATTGCGGGATAGACAGGATCCTTTAGCTCAGCGCGACAGTGTGCTCATAGAGAGATATCGATTTTCCCGTGAGGATATTATTTACTTAACCAACTTGTTGACGAGGGGGTGCAGGACCACCACCTGTCTTTTTTTTTGCTCTGCCCTTTTCTTGGTTGCTGTTATAAACAAACAGATTATTTCAGGGTCTCTTTCCAAGAGACGAAAAGCAATATAAGTGATAAATATTACCATTCTGTAGAATATTCTTATATTTCACTTTTACTTGTTCCCATGTTCTAGTGGGTCCTGTTGTGGCTCTAATGTGAAAGGGGATATAATATAACATATTATAATATAATATAATGTAATATAATATTGGATAATATGGTGTGATATGATAAATCTACCCTACCGCCTACTGGTGTTGGCCAGAGGGGCCGATGGCGCAATATGGCAGCCTGGCTTCTGTCAGTCTGCCCCAGGGCAGCTGTGGCTACAACCGTAGCTGCCTCCACCAGTGTGTGAATGTGAGAGTGAATGAATAGTGGCATTGTAAAGCGCTTTGGGTGCCTTGAAAAGCGCTATATAGATCCAATCCATTATTATTGTTATTATTAAATTACTTACGAGTTTAATTTGTCAGCAACTTTCTGCCAGCCCTCTCTCCTTGCTTTTGCAGCCTTTGCAGTGTTCCCTTGTGTTCTGATTAAACTCTGAAACTCCTGAAATCCCTCACTCAAGAGTTCTTGCTCTGCTGCCGGAAAATACTGAGCGCGCTCCTTCGACATTTTCGCCGACCAAGGTTTCTACTATCGATGCGTAGCCCCTGTTAAGCCACCCAGTGATCTCACATTACTTCATCCAGCTGTACTAATCGTCAACAACAGGTGTGTTCGGAGAACCGGATTAGCGAGCTCACGGTTAGCGCGATGGTTTGATCTTGGATGTGTCATTTGATCTTGGATGTAGTAAGCGAGGTACGAAGAACGGACCCCAGGTTGACACAGCAACAACTACACCCACAACAACAAGGTGGAGGTTACACGTCTGGGCTGGAAAAGCCGCAGAACCACAGGAAACGCTCCTCCGGGTCTATAAACAGCTTGATGTCTGTGAAGGTTCTCAGTCATCCAGGTCATCGTAGTCAAAGGAGCTTGCAAAGAAAAGCGTCTGGACTTCCTTAAGTTACTTGAAGACGTTTCACCTTCATCCGAGAAGCTTCTTCAGTTCTAAGGTCAAATGGTGGAGAGTCCCAGATATAAACCTAGTGGGAGTTTCCCCCCACAGAGGGACAAAAGGACCCCCTGATGATCCTCTAATCGCCTGAGCCAAGGTGTGAAACTGGGTGTGGGTCCCAATCAGCCAGAGTTTCGGGTGAGTTCATTGTGAAACCTGGCCCCACCTTATCATGCGAATTCCTGAGGTCAGAAGAGCCACCTCCACAGGACAAGACTCAGCAGTCCATCTGCATCTTAAGGTCAAAGGTCACTCTTTCGAGGATACCAATGTTCACATTTTGGACAGAGAGGACAGATGGTTTGAAAGAGGAGTGAAAGAAGCATCTATGTCCACTGTGAGCGACCATCTTTGAACAGAGGCGGGGTTTACGACACCAACTCTCTGCCATCTATAATCCAGTTTTGAGATCCCTCCCCAGACGCCTTAACGCCCACTCACATCCTGGGCCATCTGACCTCAGGAATTCGCATGATAAGGTGGGGCCAGGTTTCACAATGAACACACCTGAAACTCTGGCTGATTGGGACCCACACCTGCTTTCACACCTTGGCTCATGTGATTAGAGGATCATCAGGGGTCCTTTTGTCCCTCTGTGGGGGAAACTCCCACTGGGTTTATATCTGGGACTCTCCACCATTTGACCTTAGAACTGAAGAAGCTTCTCGGATGAGAGGTGAAACGTCTTCAAGCAACTTAAAGAAGTCCAGACGCTTCTCTTTGCAAGCTCCTTTGACTATAAACAGCTTGAAGCTAAAAACAGGTTCTAAGAATTTGGTGGTTGCTGCTCTGTGATACACAAAGAACAGAAGGAACCCTGAAACGTTCTTGCAGTCCAAAAGCTCCTCGGGCTAAAGCAAAGAGGGTACCTTGGAGGGGGAAGACTCAGCAGGAGCCGACTCCGGTCGTCTGCGGGGAGGAACAGGAGGAGGAACGGGAACATCCTCAGAGGCCCGACTGAAGCTCACCATGGAGGAGACCGAAGAGGACCCTGAAAATTACCAGATAGACACTGTTAGAACCAGGAGAACGAACAGGAGAACCATACAGCAGCCAGCAGCAGATTGGTTTGTTGCTCGTTAACTTCACGCTTTAAGTACTTCAGGGCTCCAGAGTGCGACCAACTTGGTTGCACATGTGACCTAATTTCTCAATGCTGCGACTAAAAAAAAAATTTAAAGTCTCAGCAACTCTGAAAGTCTCCATGTGATTAACAACAGACACACATTATCCACATATCGTGGTTTAAACCATTCAGAGATGGTCAGGGGCGGGACCTCTCTGATTGGCCGTAATCCAGATATTCCTGTAGGCCTTGTGTGTATGTTTGAAAGTGTAGGTCAATAGAGAGGTGAGTAGGCAACAAAGGCTGTCACACTTGGTGTTCGCTCGCTCTGCGGTAGAGTATCACTTCCTGTTCCTGCTCAAACACAGTGGTGTTTCTGAGTAGCTTATCTGCTTAGCAATTTAATTAAAATTTTTATATACATTCTTCTTTCATAGTATAATCTTCACGTGCTTCATCCAAAGCACACTCTGTGTACTCACTACCTAACTTATAGCCAAAGTATTCACTCACTGTCTCTGTACTGTTTCACTAGCTTAGCCGACTCCACCATGGCTACTTCACCTGTCCCTCCTGCACTTTCTTGCTCATTGTGTCAGATGTTTAGTTACTCCTCGGCCTCCTTTAGCAGTAGTGATATCTGTAACAAATGTAGCATATTTGCAGCTCTGGAGGCCAGGATTACTGAATTGGAGACTCGGCTTCGCACCCTTCATTCACCCGTAGCTAGCCAGGCCCCTGTAGCTGGTGCAGCCGAAGATAGCGTAGCTGTTCCCCGGCAGACCCCAAGCAGCTGGGGAAAGAGGGCGGCTGGGTGACGGTGAGGAGGAAGCATAGTCCAAAACAGAAGCCCCAGGTACACCACCAACCTGTTCATGTGTCTAACCGTTTTTCCCCACTCGGCGACACACTCGCCGGGGGCATGTGAAGCTAGAGACACCGGCAACCATAGTCAACTGTCTTCCAGGGGCCAGAGCAGGCGACATTGAAGGAAATTTAAAACTGCTGGCTAAGGGTAAACGTAAATTCAGTAAAATCATAATTCACGTCGGCAGTAATGACACCCGGTTACGCCAATCGGAGGTCACTAAAATCAATATTGAATCGTGTGTAACTTTGCCAAAACAATGTGGGACTTAAACCAAGATGGCGCCGCGTATGGATGCCCTGGTGCTTCAGTGAGTTACTTTTGTCTTGTTTTTGTGCATTTCTTCTGTGTCTGGGAACTCCTCTGGATACTCGTACACCAGAGAAGAGCTCCTTAACTGCAGGACTACAACGCCTGTGGATTTATTTCCAATATTTGTCGCATCTGCGGCAGATTTACTGCTGACTCTGATCAGGAAAGTGAGACGTCGAAAGAGAGGTAAGCGAGCCGGCGTACTCGTGCGTTTGAGGAAACGCGGACTGAGAACGGCCCTTCCTGGGATCTTCCTTTCTAATGTACGCTCACTCTGGAATAAGATAGACGAACTGGCCCTGATAAGAAGCATGAACAGAGACTTTGCCTCCTCCTGTGTCTTATGTTTTACGGAGTCGTGGCTCAGTGAGGACATCCCGGACTGCGCGCTCAAGCTGGAGGGCTTTCATCTGCTGCGCGCGGACCGGCTGGCCGCTCTCTCCGGTAAAACCAAAGGTGGAGGTGTCTGCTTCTACATCAATAGTGGCTGGTGCACAGATGTAACAGTGATTGCTCAGCACTGCTCTCCCTCTCTGGAATATCTTTTTATTCACTGCAAACCGTTTTATTCTCCGCGGGAGTTTGCTTCATTCATCCTGGCCGCTGTTTACATCCCGCCAGACGCGGATGCGCAAGCAGCTCAGTGCGCACTCGCAGAGCAGATTCTCCACACGGAGCGGACATTCCCGGCCTCTCTCATCATTGCTCTTGGGGACTTTAACAAAGCCAATCTGAGCCATGAGCTTCCGAAATACAAGCAGTATATTAAATGCCCGACCAGAGAGGAGAGGACATTGGACCACTGCTACAGCACGATCAGCGGGGCCGCGCGCTTCACTCGGACTTTCTGACCACGTCATGATCCACCTGATCCCCGCGTACAGACAGAGGCTGAAGCTCTCCAAACCTGTCGTGAGGACTAAAAAACTGTGGAGCAACGAGGCTGTGGAGGAGCTTCGCACGTGTTTGGAGACCACAGACTGGGACACATTGAAGGCTGCTTCTAACAGCTTGGACGAGTTTACGGACACTGTCACCTCCTATATCCACTTCTGTGAGGACAGCATTGTGCCATCACACACCAGGGTGAGTTATAACAATGACAAACCCTGGTTTACTCCTAAACTCAAAAGCTGTGGCTGGAAAAGAGAAAGGCGTTCAGAAGCGGAGACAGGGACTGCTACAGAGAGGCCAAGTACAGGTTCACTAAAGAAGTGGACATTGCTAAACATCAGCACTCTGAGAAGATGCAGCAGCAGATCTCAGAGAATGACTCGGCCTCTGTGTGGAAAGGTTTTAGGAATATTACAAACTACAAGCCTAAAACCCCCCACTCCACTGATGACTTGCTCTTGGCCAACACCCTTAACGACTTCTACTGCCGTTTTGACGAGCCATCAGGCAGCCTTCACACCTCCAACGGCCCCAACAATAGAGACACTTTGGACACTCATTCCCCTACCTCTCCCCCCTCCATAGAGCCATCACCACCTTCAAACTATTCACCTGCAACACCCGCCCCCTCACCCCACACAAAAGAGGATTTCACACCACCTCCTCCGACCACAACTCTTCATATTCATGAAGTAGATGTGAGGAAGCAGTTTAAGAACCTGAATGCTCGAAAAGCTCCCGGCCCAGACGGTGTGTCTCCTGCCACCCTCAGACACTGTGCAAACGAGCTGGCCCCAGTGTTTTCTGGCATCTTCAACTCCTCACTGCAGGCATGTCATGTGCCTGACTGCTTCAAGTCCTCTACCATAATCCCTGTCCCCAAGAAACCTAGGATCACTGGACTAAATGACTACAGACCCGTGGCTCTGACATCTGTGGTCATGAAGTCATTTGAGCGCCTAGTTCTCTCCCATCTCAGGACCCTCACGGCCCCCCTCCTGGACCCCCTGCAGTTTGCATACAGAGCCAACAGGTCTGTAGACGACGCCATCAACATGGCCCTACACTTCATCCTGCAGCATCTGGACTCCCCAGGAACCTACGCCAGGATCCTGTTTGTGGACTTCAGCTCTGCCTTCAACACCATCCTTCCAGACCATCTCCGAGGCAAGCTTTCCCAGATGAATGTGCCTGATCCCATCTGCCGGTGGATCACTGACTTCCTGACGGACAGGAAGCAGCACGTGAGGCTGGGAAAGAATGTCTCGGACTCCCGGACCATCAGCACCGGCTCCCCTCAGGGCTGTGTTCTTTCTCCTCTGCTCTTCTCCCTGTACACCAACTGCTGCACCTCCACCCACCAGTCTGTCAAGCTAATCAAGTTCGCAGATGACACCACCGTCATTGGGCTCATCTCTGACGGGGATGAGTCTGCCTACAGGAGGGAGGTTGAACGTCTGGTGTCTTGGTGCAGCCACAACAACCTGGTGCTGAATGCCCAGAAGACAGTGGAGATTATTGTGGACTTCAGGAAGCACACAGCCCCACTCCCCCCATCATCCTGACTGACACCCCATCACCTCTGTGGACTCATTCCGCTTCCTGGGTACCACCATCACCAGGACCTGAAGTGGGAGCCCACCATCACCTCCGTCATTAAGAAAGCCCAGCAGAGGATGTACTTCCTGAGGCAGCTGAAGAAATTCAACCTGCCAACACGGACGATGATGCAATTCTACACTGCAATCATCGAGTCCATCCTCACCTCCTCCATCACCGTGTGGTACGCTGGAGCCACTATCAGGGACAAACAGAGACTGCAGCGTGTTGTGCGCTCTGCTGAGAAGGTGATTGGCTGCAGACTCCCATCTCTGCAGGACCTGTACACCTCCAGGACACTGGGCGTGCAGCTCGGATCTCAGCTGACCCTTCTCACCCTGGACACAGTCTGTTTGACCTGCTCCCCTCAGGCAGGAGGCTCCGGTCCATTCGCACCAGAACCTCTCGCCATAAGAACAGTTTCTTCCCTCTGCTGTTGGACACATGAACAATAACCGTATGACTGTTCCCACCACTAACACATGACCCTACGCTGTGTCACTGCATCATTTCATGTCTGGCACTGATCACCACCTGCACTCATGTATATATCTTTCTACGTAGCACTCTTAATTCTTATTCTCATGTATATATCTCATGTATATCTCATGCACATATCTTTCTTTCTACATAGCACTTTAATTCTTATGTCTGCACTGAAGCACCGCAGCAATTTCCTAATGTTGTAACCTCAACATCTGGCAATAACCATTCTGATTCTGATTCTGATTCTGTAAACGTTGTGTCGTCAGCAAGACACTCGAGCCTGAGGGGAGGGCCCCTCTTGAAAGCATTAAAACTACCGGTCCTCTTGAGCTCGTCTGCATAGACTTCTGGTCCGCAGAGGATCACAGGGCAAGAGTGTGGATGTTCTAGTAGTGACTGACCATTTCACCAAGATGGCCCATGCTTTCCAGTGCTCAGATCAGACGGCAAAACAAGTTGCGCGCCAGTTGGGACAGATATTTCTGTGTCTATGGCTTCCCTCAAAGGATCCATTCAGACCAGGGCGCCAATTTTGAGAGTGAGTTGATCCAAGAGCTGCTGCAAGTGGCCGGGGTGCAGAAGTCAAGAACGACACCTTACCACCCTATGGGTAACGGTCACACCGAAAGGTTTAACAGGACCTTGGGAAATATGATCAGAGCCCTACCTCCGAGGGAGAAGCACAAGTGGCCTCAGATGTTGCAGACACTGACCTTTGTCTACAACTGCACCGCTCATGAGTCCACTGGTTACGCACCGTTCTTCCTAATGTACGGGCATATCCCCAGGTTACCAGTGGATGTCATGTTTCACAATGTTGCAAGGGACAATGATGTAACAGACTATGACAGTTATGTAAAAAGGATGAGAGATGACCTCAGAGAAGCACTCGCATTGGCCCAGACTAACACCAGAGCTAGTCAGCAGCGTCAAGCAGACCTGTACAACAAAAAGCAGAAAGGTGTTGACATTGAGGAAGGAGATCGTGTCCTTTTGGCAAACAAGGGCGAACGGGGTCGTAGGAAGTTAGCTGATAGGTGGGAGTCGACCATCTACACTGTGATCTCCAAGAACCCCACATGCCACACGTATCGCATCAGGAACGTCAAGAGTGGACAGGAGAAAGTTGTCCATAGGAACTTGCTTTTGCAGGCTAATTTCCTGCCCATTGAGTCCG